TGCTGCGTTGCCAAAAGATTGAAATCAAAAATCAAAGCTCGGTGTCAGAACCGGTGTTTCTTGATTCGTGCGTCAAGTAACAACCTCATCATCAATGTACGGCAAAGCGAACTTTGTTGAGCGCGCAGTGCATGCAACGTAGCTAAGAATGTGTATGGTTGGTAGGGAAACTAACTGCGTATATAAAAGTTTCCAAGAGTTCTGACCTGATAAAAATGACAACAAGAATTCAACTGTCGTTAATTCGTTGTCAGTCAAGCAGTTACGGAGTCTGTCAGATCCAGTCGAGAGACGAGAAAGTAGCGTCTTCTGCTTAATCTCCCCGCACATTACTTCATATCTCATTTTCATTTCATGTGCTGATTTTCGCATGATTTTCGTGACCCCGGTGTAACAACTGCAAATAAGATGCAGTGAGGTGAACGTCAGCAATGTATGCGTGTGTGCTTAAGATCATTACCGCAACACTCGACTACAAAATTGACTGCTTTGCATTCTGACTCGGGATCTAAGGCAACCAGTGCGTGTCGTTCTGTAACAGTCACCCCCGTCCAGTATTGAGTGAGTGCATCAACCACATTCGCTAGGCTGTTTCAAAAGTATCTTAATGCTATTTGCGTTTCAGTCCGTACCCAGACGCACCCACGCATGTTCGGATCGGAGAAAGTCTGTGTGCGTGTGCGCTTGCCTAGCAGAGCTTGGTTGAAGCTATGCAAAAATCTACGCGAATGTTCTGGTTGTCTGCTTGAGAACTTTACTATTTGGTAAACAAGAATTCCTGATGTACCTGTGTGTGCCAAAACCAAAGCCTACTTGACTGAATTTTCCGTAGAAGCATTTTCAGCAAACCCTCGACCAAACCAAATATTTCTAACTCGTTCACTCCGTACTACCTTCACCCGACTGAATAAAATCGCTAAAATACCTGCTGAATGTCGTTCCTGCTTTAGTCAAGTTGATCCTTTCGGTTCGTTCGCGATGAAAAATTGAAGAGTGCACATTATTTATTTTAAGCTTTATTGAATGCAGTGTTTATTCTGATTTCAGTGCATGTCGGTGAGTGTTTAGCCATAACATTAGACACTTAAATTATTTTGACACAATCAGTCACGGAGATCAGTCAAATCCGTTACTGGTGGAAGATAGTCTTGAATTCAGTGAATAAAAGATTCCCTGCACATGCACGTGGAACGATCGAAACTGATTATTGGTTACTACGACATAAAGTAACCCTGTCAGTGATCACTGCTCGATGGTCACCGCTGAGTTCAGTCATTATATATGGAATAAAAAATATATTATTGCGCTTTCTTACTTCACGTTTTTCATGAATATTTAGGAATCTTTATCTACAAGGAACTCGATACTAAGAGCGTGCCGTAAAGTGACCAAGTTACACTACGTTTTACTATCTTTTATTGTTTCCAGGAAGCACAACTAAACGTTGATGATATCGCAGACCCGAAAGCTCAGAGCATTGAACAAGCAAAACAAAAGGCTGAGTACGATCGGTTGATCAGTTTGGCCGAGCAAAAGAAAGCGGAAACTCGCAAAAAGGTGACCGAGTTACGTCTTCGTTTTCGACGCCTGAAGGAACAAAATGAACGCCTTCCGGAACGCATCAGACTATCCAAGGAGGTGCGAATTAAGATTTATGAGAATGCCGTTCCAGTGCAAAACGCAAAAGCGATTACAGATAGTGTAATGTTTATTACTAAAATAAGTGAATAAGTTATCTGCAGATTCACAGAAATTTACACTAAATAGCTATATGAAAGAGATACCTATCAGTTCCAGCTTCAGTTATTTGAAACGTTTAACCCTATACCTTTTTGCGATGGCTTTGATTTCTATCTTTGAGCTGCCTATTGAAGTATCAAAGGTCGTTTTCCATCTTCTATCAAGACTCTGCAATACATATTCCATGCATTTTTGGAAAAAAAATTCAGCTGACCACATACAAATCTGGCCTTTCTTTTACAGGATTTCAACTTGGTCCCTCAAATAAGAGATGATCTCTTAAAGGATAGAGCTTCGAAGATTGATCTGGTTTATCGGGAGACTGCTTGGTTGTCCGAGAAATGCCGACTTGCTCTAGAGAAGCTGCATAACACGTATGTGGAATTGTTTGCTTCTGCACATTTTCATGATCTCCATGATTGACCTTTTGCTTTTAATCGAAACAACCTCCAAAATTAGTATTGTGAACAACCATGCAAAACCTTTCATTGCGTTCTTATGAGAATTAAAGTATGAGAACTTACTGTTTATTTCTATTGTTGAACATTACACTTAATAGAACCTTTCGCCTAGGCAACACTAGAGTTCTCGCTCTCACTAAGTATAAAATGGTTAAATCAAGACTAATGTATAATCCCAGTAATAGCAGATCCAGAATGTTCTCATATTTCTTTCTAAATGGAATCCGAGAAGCTGCGTTTTGTTCATTGGACTTTGATACCAAACACTTTGGGGGCGGAAATAATATGGAATGATTGTATGAGTATTTAAGGGAACACTGGTGACCCGAGACTACTCCAGCCATAACCGGTCCAGAACCAGTTTTCAATCAGTTTGGAACCGGTTCAAGCCGGTTTGCGGTTGGTCCAAGAAAGCCATTTGTCCAATGATGAAAACGTGGGTGTCACCACGACAACGAGGCAGTCCATCAAATCAAAGTAAATGGTCGCAGTTGATCAATAGGATTGAAGGTACGCATATAGACAATCAAAACCCTCACCAGAACTATATAATAGCGGTCAAACTGAGAATTGGTGCTTCCCCCAATTTGATGATGTCAGAAAATGGCCACTCGGAAACGTTCACTAATCGTAACTGGTCTGAACGAACAAAACAGGTGCCTACATCTAGATCTGAGAAAGAGACTTTGTTTGAAGTGTTGTTTGGCAGATTTTAAGTTTTTATGTTGAGATTGGCAAACGTTCAGTAGCCTTGGTGGGATTCGAACTCACGCATAAACACCGCCTATGCGGTGGCTCAGACACGCGGGAGGGACAGGGTAGCCTCCAGTTCGATTTTTGTACACTTGATAGAGGCTGGGCATATGGTAGATACTAATTCGGCTTTCACCATCATTTATCACGTCTCACTACACAAATCCAAGGTTGTTCGAATTAAAACGCTAGCAACAGCCGAGGCAATTATCATCCGCTTGTTGGAGCCAGAATTCTGTGCTCAAAAAGCGCTTGTTCCAGCGGTTAAACTTCCCTGACTCAAGGCGGGCAACATCACGCATGAGCGTTGTGATGACCCAAATAAATTATCAACGCTTACCTAACCCATTCTTAGCTGATCAAGAGAACTGGAGACAAACGTTTCCCGACCCCACCCCTTTGCCATAATCATTTGACCTCTACTGTTTCATTCAGCACAACATCCTCCCACAATTTTTATAAATGTGATTGCATTGGCTCGAGTAGAAACTAACCGAAAAAATGTGTTCGCCTAAGATCTGTGTTCTGATAACAATGATGGACTTATTTTATGATACATAAATGTATATTTTTCCATGACCCAATGTGCTATACATACACCAGCTTGTCTCACGTCAGGAATTGAGGAGATTAAGCGAAAGGTTAACATCATATGACATTCGTCTTCTTTCGGCACTATTACGATAAATAATTGAAACTCACTGCTTCAAAAAGTGAAATATTGTAACATACATTCTGAGAAGAAGCGGATTCATGGATCATATCTGTGGAGCTTTGTTGACTTGAGCGTGGCGAAATTGCTCACATTTTCTGACGTCATCAATGCATGATAGAGGTCACAATCTAGGTTTACTCAAGGCCAGAACTAACGGAGTTCTTTGGCCTACTTTCTTCTGCATATTGATGGTTTCTACAATCCAGTTGCCAATGCTTTCGCCCTTGTCAACTGGTATTGTTGTACGAGCTTCCATCTAATCGTACGTACTCGGTACATGACCTTGAAAATGTCATTTTAAACCTCATACCCTGTTTCTGTGAGGTAGGGTACCGTGGCACTTCTTGCTATTTCATGCAAATTGCTCGTAAAATAACTTCAGCTAGCAATAATAGCAGCGGTAGCAATTAGACTGCTGAACCCATCACTATGCTCAAATAAAAATGTTGGTCAAAATACTGCAGCTACACTGGCCTCGAGTTAGCTTAAATCGTTAATTTTATTGTGACTCCTACCATGCAAGGATGATGTTAGAAAATGTGAGTATTCTAACCATTTTAAAATTAAAAGAACTCCAACGGCGTGGCTCACAAGCTCCTCTTACGCCCTATCAGCCTGTATATAAAACCCCTTCGTTGTTTATCGTTTCACGAATTACTTGGAGCAGGTTAATTTCAATTTTCTGACTAACCGACATTCCAATGTATTTAGCGCATAAATAATCACGTAACTTTCGATGCCTGCACACGAATTTAAGAAAACGTACAAATTCTGAACGAACTGAAGTGTATCGGAGGGGAGAGTTTAACATCTTTTTTGAATTCAACAACAGAATTAGGGACTCACTATGTTTACCAAATGACAGACCGGAAACCTATGAGATTCAATTTATCGTAGGTTAGTGTATAGGCACCGGTACACCCTTAATGAGTGTCGTTACCAACACGCAATTTGGACAATAAATACCCATTTCGTGCAATATTTTTTTTTCATTTCCACACCTTTGCAAACAGTTTTCGAAAGCCCTTGGATTTCGAACGTGTTGTGGTGCATGCATTCTGCACTGGTCATTGTGTTGCTTCTGTCCGTACAAACCGGCTGAGCGAGGAACATAATGAGGCGAAACACGATCTGGCACGAATCAAGGCCGAGCGACTGGCTCGTACTTTACATTTGGAACAGCGAACATCACAACTAGGTAAACTGTTCCTAGATGATGCCAGGCATTTGACCGGTTTGATCCCAGGTTTTCTGTACAAAATTTCAAAACGTTTGAGATGATTTTAAAACTTTTAATTCCGAAATGATTGAAAATCCTCGAGAGGTACAAACCTACACATCCAAGACACCCAGGGAGCGTTAGATTCACTATACATCCAGGTTACATCATTATGCCCACATAATGAAAGTTGACAGTCACGGATTATTTTGCCTATGTCTAACCAGCGTGTATCAAATTAATATTGGAATTCATGTAGTGGTGTAAAATTCATTGTATAACCGATTTTGTGATCTTCAGTCAAGCAAAAACTAGAAAGATTGGTGTAACCCGGAAGCTGTATTACTGAATCACACGCTGTGTACATCCATAGATAACTTTTCTTTTGTCCCATGTGAGTATGATTATAATATTGTGTATCTTAAAGTCTTAGTGCAATTAAAGAAAGTCTTCCGACGACTGAAATTTCAACAAACATTCGTCAGAAGACATCAGTTTACTCATAAGCAAATAAGCTAATTGCAGTCGTTGATTCTAGGACCAACTGTGTATAGTTGTTTTCTTTGAGGCTACTCTCAACAGTCACAGAATCACAATGACGACAGATGCCCGGCTAGCACTGTTAAGGTCATTTGGAAATACCATTTATTGAACCAGAGGACGAAATCTGGACACAGTTTATTGATTACGGTTTTCCTCTGTTCAAGCATTTATCATTTTCAGTCGCATCAGAACGCAACGTTCGCATAATGAACATTTTGACGAAGAATAAATTTAGAATGCAGAATATGCATAAAGAAATACATATCCACGTTAAGTTGAGCTCATGAATATGTTCTCGTGAAAACTGATTCCTCGGTATCAAACAACAACAATAATAATAATAACAAACAACGACTGAAAGTTTATTTATAACATCTCCTTGGTGGAGAAAGGTCCCCACGGAACAATTCACTGAATAACTGTAAAAGGTTTCTGGGTGAGTTCAGTTTAGTGTATTTCGTATCAGCAATTCACGAAATTATTGCACTGCGCGCATTGATCTATCCTCAACACAAGTTCTTAGTTCAGCTCATGGCTGAGGCTAAAGTGGGTAGTCGAAAATGTAAATCCATTGATGGATCATTTTAGTCCCTAATCTTTTCAGAAGGAACTGCTATAAGAGCGGCCAATTTGGAAGCGAGTCGATCAGCGGCGGAAGGGTCTCAGCAACAAATGAAAGGCGCACGGGGACTACGAATCGCACGCCAATTGCACGTACTCGAAGAGACGCAACGGAAACGTCGAGCCAGACGTGAACAGGTTTGTGCACTTATTTATTAGCATGCACCATATATACACTGATACATCTACGGGAACCGTGAAAAAAGACTCGAATTCACACTTGTTTGAATGTGTATATGCGATATACTCGCCAACCTACTTCAAAGAACAGATCACTGGATGACGACCAAAATCATAGTGAGGTTTTTCATTATCACCAAAGTGTTAGTATCCATGATATTGCGTAGTTTGTTGCCTTGATACAAGAGAGAAAGTAATGTCTGCCAGAAGCAGGTCACATCAATCATATTTTCATCTTACTTCAATCCTAAGTGCTTACAATCACAGTTTTATTTGACCTAACAGGGAGGATGTGGCTCAACTAAAAAAGATGCCACTTTTCGAATGGCTGAAGGCCTATAATTGTTATTATCTGCAATCAAATAACTTTGGTTGTTTAAAGGTCCATTATAAGCTAAACATTTATTTAGAAACTGGAGTCGTCGCAGGAGTGGGATAATTCATTCCAACATTCTTGAGCAGATTCTCCGTAGTAGGACTAGTAGGAGTATTGTGTGACTCCGAAGATGTTTTCAGTATACTGAATGAGCATATGAGTAACCGATTGCAAGTGAACCATAAACTTTCTCAAACCGATCTTCCGAAAGCCTCAGAATAGTTGGGGCTGGATGTCTTGGGTTACGGCTGGTCGCTCCTCTCTTTTGCTTCGTGAAATGTTCCCATGCGACTAAGCGTTTCAAAAACCATAGGCTGAGCAAGCTTTACTCACTGTCTTCTTGTGGCGGAAATGTTTTCTCATCAATGTGAGAGGACGAAAAGCCAGTATCCGAGGTTAGACCCGCCTCAGGTAACCACTGGTAGTTCACCTAAGGGAGTTGGCTAAAAACCCTGATTCCAAACTAACCAACAGGAGGAGTGCGATCCACGTACACACCTTCCTGGTGGTGGTGGTGGTCACTGTCCTGATTGGATATCGAGGTGAATTGAGCCCCCGGATCGTTTGACTCCGTTCAAAGGGCATATGATCCGACGGACTGGGCACAGGCCCCCAATGGATTACGATTTTCACACACCGTCCCGCTGCCCTACTTGTCAGGCCTTGGCTAGCCGAAGGCTCCGGTTGTGAATGCCCTAGGAATATTCACTTGCTTTGGTCTGTGCCCTTGAGAAAAAAATGAGCCTTTTTCCTTTTTTATAACGACTATTGCACCGTGAATCGTTTGGCCCACAGTTGGAAGTCAGGCTTATGTGAAATTGTATATAAATATATATCTTCCATTCAGAACTTCACACTATAACTACAAATTGATCTATAACATTCCTTTGTTCTCACAACTCTCCCTCATTTAACTGCACCCCCCGTGAGACATTTTTGGTTGCTATAAGAACTGCAGATGATTTTATTTGCAGTAGCACCTCAGATGGAAATCCTCTCGCTGTCCTCCTACTTTCTATTGCGACCACAGTCCAAAATGAAAGTGCATGGTTATTGGTTGTACGAATTGAACTGAATTGAACTCTTCCACAACTGAATCTTTTCTTCATACTCGATACCACTCCAAACAGGCCACATTCAGAGGGCGTGGCCTGATGCGTACAGGGAAACAGGCATGTCTTGCTCGTATGCTCGGTAGCTGGGTCATTGATGTATGATGTATCCAAGAGACTAGTAATTAAGACGCCAGTTTCATCATTCTAATGACACCTCTCTCAAAGGTAAACTTATGGCTTAATGGAACCCATGAGACTGCGGCTCCCCGGCGTTGTCCGGGCTCTCAGTGGGAGGACTGAAGCCGTGCCTCTAAACTGGATGCCAGTCGGTAGATGGTTGTTCACAGCGAGACTCCGAGGCTCTTGTAAAGTAAGCATTCGTCTCCCCGATAGCCCCACCTTACTTTCCGTCTCGGTGTACGCTCCAACGGACTGCAGTCCAGATGCAGTCAAAGATAACTTACCAAAAGCAATACAAACTCTTGCATACAGAATGTCCAGCTCATTTCTCGATCAAGGAATAGAGTCCTGCCACCCGGAAAACGGAGAACGGCTGTTGGCTATATGTTCCAACAACCGCCTTTTCCTCGTCAATAAGAAATTCAGGCGATCCACAACTTGGTGTTCACTCGCCTTGAGTCAGCAACGAAAGCAACTCATCCACATCACAGTAGGCCACAAGTGGTGCATGCAAGACTTCCCGTCGAACTGGAGCACTCCCCTCAAATCAAACTGCGCATCAGTTTGCGATAAGCTGTCCATAGGCTTCGGTGGACATTCCAAACGCACGACACAGGTACGGTTGGATTGCGATAATTTGTCTCAACCAGCATGCCGAACCATCTTTCATAACGCGCTAATTGAAAACCTATAGTCAACCTCACCTAATTGCATCGGTCAGCTCTGGTCGCTTATCAAGGTTTCTGTGCATTCTGACGAACTGGTTATTTGTGGTCTGACACGTTGTGTTCTTACAATCTGGATTTCTTTAAAGTCTATGCGCCTTCTTCGCACATGTCCGTCACGTCTGACCAGCAATGAGCATAATATAGCACGACTTGTAACGGGATGTAACCTCAAAGGAAGACTACGCCTAGACCGCGAAATCTAACCGACTGAGTACGCATCAGAGGTGAGACCTACCGCCGACATGAGAAATTCCCGTAGGCCATTCAGTTTCATCCGAGTCATCGGTAGGAAATTTTTAGGTATGAGCGAAACTGTCTGAAATGCTAACGACTCATCAATTCTCAACCAACAGTGACATGTTGCGCCATGAGCAGAGCACTTTGAGGACCAGTTTAGCTGGCCACCGCAGTCGGCTTCTCCCACAGGTATTCTGGCACACATTCCGTGAGTTTTATGAAAAGACCCAACATCTGCTGAGGAAATCCGCAATGAGATCCAAGCCCTGAAACATCACAAAGCATTGGACTCCGATGGTCCTTCCCCATCTCTGTTCAAAGATTGGTTGAATAAGCTCTGTACTCTAACGTCGAACCTCTGAATAAGTCCTCCGCTGCTAGAGTGAACAGATCGTCGCCCTCATCTTCTAGAATGGTCAACAAAATGACCGCATCAACCGCAGAAAAAAATTTAATCCACCATCAACATCATCAACGTCGTCGTCCTCATCCTTATTATTATCATCATCGTCGTACAGCCTAATGCAGTGAAGTGAACTTCACTGATTGCTGCCAAACTCATAATGTATACATCATGAGGGAGAATACGTAGGGAGGACAGTGAGGATAGGGCTGGGACCTATTTGTAGGAATGGGAAAAGAAAACGAACCTCTGTGGTCAACACACAGAGTGCAGTGTCCAACTGTGCTTATACACGCTTCAAGCATTCTCACCCGACAAGAACTGATCGCAGGATCGCCACTACTGTCGATTTTCTGCTTCGATCTTCGGTGTCTCCAACGATGCAGTTCCGGAATCTTTTGGACTCTAACCCGTAAAAAGAGAGAGAGTCCCACTCTACCTAGTCGCTCTGTGTCTAATCCAAGTGGTGTCAAAGTCGTTGTCGTTCGTCGTACTTGGTAAATTTCACAATACGCGGGAGGAACAAGCCGGAGTTGATCACGCTCGGTTTGCGCCGGTCGTGAATTCTTTTCATTTTTTTCATTTTTACTTCCTCTTATTGAATATACAATGATACAATTTTCAGGCAGGAAAAAGCGGCCAATCAAAGGGCTGTCATGCAACACTCAGTGGGGGAAGTCAGGCGATGGGATTTGAATATACGTCATCCGAGGTGATAATTTGGTGACGTTACCACAGGGCCACCACCGCCCTATCACCTCTTTACCCTTTGACAATTGCCAAAGTAGCACCGTGCTTACCCAAGGCCGAAGATAATTGTGATCGTAAATATCCGTTCAACCTAAGTCACACTGTAGACCTGCCTGACAAGTATGTGCCCATCCTCAAAGAGTCGTATCGGCATTACTCAGGTCGGTTTAGAGCCTATGACCGGTTTTAGCTGCTCTTTAATCCCTCCAGCGGGGTGCAACAAGACTACCCTACAACCCCATTCTTCAAATTTGCCATAGAAGATGCTCTAAATAATGCATTTTCTGGTTTAAGAAACGATGGAGTGAAACTTGTACCAGGAACCAAACTTCTTGAGTTAGAACACATCGAGGATATCGCCTTAAAGGGTGGCAGTACTCCGACATGTCAATATGCTTCAAACTGCTTGGCGTAGATGTATTAAGAAATGATGTGTGCTTAGCGGCGGTAAGGTAAATAGTGGTTGTTCAAGGATGGCAGATGCCTGTACTTCTACTCACCCTTTGTGATGGCCACCAAGAAGTATTCAGCACTGGCCTCGGCTGGTGCTGCCCGTCTTCAGGTTGGGGGACTGAGGAATGAAGATTGCCGTCAATTAAAGACTCTGAGCGACAAGTTTTTAATAGAAATCAATGGCGGGAATGAGGTGAGGTGCATTTGTTAAAATCTTGTTCCCGATAAAATAACCGTCTAACTTACATAATATCAAACAGTGCACGTTAAAACAAACAAACAAAATTTTTATTGTTTTGATTTTGATTCTCTGTGATCGTTTGTCTTTTAGATAGTTTTCTGCAGCACCCCTATCCCATAATTTCCTATTACGATTGTTGTTGCGTTGCCACCATGCTTGTTTACAAGCCGATGATGTATGTTCGCAAAGATTCGGCAAGATTTATTGCCGACTATCCCCACGAAACACCATAACCGGTAACTTTTAGATCCGAAAGAGCACAACAATGAATGCGTGGCGATGGTGTTTGTCATTTTTACACAAGGTAAAATAAGGTTATCACAGTTTACGATGACAACTGTGATGATATCGATGATGAAAATAATAATAATAATAATAAGTATAATGGTGACAAAAATTATTCAAAATAAAAATATTTAATTTAATTCGATGGATTAAGAGAAGAGGTGAAAGTGAAAGAATGCTTGCTTGGGTTGGTCATCTCCTGAATTACACGTTGAAAAAAGGATCAGTGAACCTCTAGTTCTAGGTATAATCATAACAACTCTCATCTCCCTGCATACGAAATTCCAAGGTATTCAGATAACATGATGACTAATTGAAAACTAGTCTTATATTGTTTAATCCTCATGCCAGCTGTACTGGAACACAGTATCTACCATTTGGAAATGACCTGTGATAAACACGTGATAGACCAGGGCACAAAACATCATTTTCTGGGATAAGTGTCTGCGAACTTATCGAAGGGATGTATTCAGTGATCGCCCTAATTCAGTTTTAATTGATTGAATTACTACTTTGTTTTTTTATTGAGTTATTCAATAGAGGTTCAACTGTTTTGCTATCAGTTGAAAAGACGCCTTGACTCAAAGAAATAAGTGAAGGAATATTTTATTGGACTCATTTGGAAAGTATCAAACAGTGTGGTAAATTACCACTAAATACGTTTGGTTTTTGTTGGAGTATTGATGATAAATCTCGTGGTGATTTCCGTTTGGTGTTTATGGCTACTCAAACCTCGATTGAGGCACTGATTAAATATAACTTAACAATGCATATGAATGAGCCACTGATCAGTTCAGATACATAATGCATATTTGATTCCATTTTTTGCCGCATCCAGTGGGCGACTCTTTTGGCCATGAAACCGGCCGACGATTACGAGGACCCCGAGGATCTGAAGGCCATTGCTCAGGCTAAAGAGCGCATGGGTGATTTTAAACTGAAGTCTTCGCAAGATTACGTGGTACCGGAACGAGCAACACTGAATGCATTCGAGGCTAAATTGCGACTTGTGGAGATGGTGGAAGAGGTTTGTCATCTGATATGTTTTCCCGTGTGTTGATGTCTGCAGCAGCTTATCATTGCATCAATCCATTGCAATATATGGTTCTCTGCCAATAACGTTTGACTCTTTTTGCAAATTTATTCTTTATATTTGTAGGAGATTGTTCTTGGGGCACATTGTTTGAATGCATAGTTTGCTAATTAAGAGTATGCCGTGTTTGACTGGCTCATTCCCCAGCCTAATGCATGTGTACATATTCCGCATGTATCACGAATCGTCAACTTTACATCAAGTGGAGTCAATCAAACGCTTTAGGCACCGGATGGTGTATATCCACCGACCACTCAAACATCACCCCATAGAATCAACAACCGGAACACTTCCAAACGTATTACGGTGACCTGAAAAGCAAACTGCGACAGCCGTATATGTGTTATTAAGAGAGGACAGAAGTTAATGCACTAAGGAATTTATATCATTAGGGGTAGACCATATACGACAATAGGCATATATGTATAAGGTGTCCTTAATCGATTATTGAAGTCGATTGTGAAAAATTCCGAGCTGTTTCTGAGTTGCTCTATCTTCTAGAGGTACGATCCTTTTGGGATATAACTTTCATCTGCTGATTACACAGTCGCGACTGAGTTTGACAGGTCTATGGTTGCTTGTGCTTTCACTGATTAGTGTTGCTTATTTATTGTTTGTTTGTAAAAGTCGTGGGGGACAAAACACGAGAAACGAAATACACTGAAGTTATCTTAAAATAGTCAGCCTCAATAAAAGTTTCGTCCTCTGCAAAAGGGGCTGATGGCTCTGCGAGTATGGAAGCGTCAAAAGGGTTGTGGTATCCACACACAAACGCGCACAGTTGATAAAGAAAAACTCAAATAAGTCATCAGTAACGTAGTCATAACTCCCACGTGCTCATGAAAATCACATATGTAACAATGTGAATAAATCAAACCTCTTTACATTTTTGGGGCTTAGAGAGCAGAATTGTTCCTTCCCGAATTTGAATAAAACAGTCAAAACCGTTGATTCTCATAATGTAGTCCGATTTGCTGCACAACAACACAACAACACCACTCCCCAAATCGTGGAAACAAAATGTTATTTCACCCATGTTTACAAAAGTGGTTGTCGTATTAGCCCCGCTAACTACCGACCTGTAAACCTACTACCAGCATCATCGAAAGTCATTAAGAGTCATGGAGACAATTGTGGCAGTCTTCCCGATAGAGCACTTATAAAGATATAAAATTCTTTCAGTAGCTGAATATGGGTTCTGGAAAACGTAATTCTGTTTAAAAAAACTTGCTTCTTGTTTAAGGTGAATGGATCAGAACAATCGATGAAGGGGATGCGGTGGATATGAATTATCTGGACTTCTCAAAATTATTCGAAGGGAGAAACCACCAAATTTTGTTACAGAAAATCTACAATTACGGCATTTGAGGTTTTGTGCGTGATTGGATTAGAATATGCCTCCGATACAGGACCATATCAGTTAGTTTGCGACTCCTGGTTCGGTTTCTCAATGTCACGTGCGGTGACTCACAAGGGCCTGTATTTGATCCCTCACTTTTTCTCGCATTCATAAATGATCTACTGAATGTTTTAGGGCCCCCAAAAATACTATTTGCAGACGGCGTCAAAATCTGGAATACAGTACTAGAACCGGAAGGCTCACCATCACTTCACTAAACAGTTAACGCAGTTTATCCATGTTCCACGGAGAACGACATTGAATTCAATATTTCTAAAGGCAAACTACCAATCCTATGCCGCGGGAATATATTCTCGTATTTACTCGTAAATCACGAGCTGCCACATAACTCAAGTAAGAGGACTCACCCACGATAAAGCATGGTGATGGTTGTGCAAACTGAAACTGAAACTGAACTTAGCCAGAAATGTTCAAGAGGACACATGTTACTCGATCAGTTGTATCAGGGCTTCGTTCGCTGCTCTGAAAAATGTCGGCTTGCTTAGGCGAGTCTTGAGTCGGTTTGAATCAGCACTGTTCTCCAATTTGCTATCAGTGTACTTTCGACCATACGCACATCACGCCATCCAAGCTTGAGGACCGTGGTTGCACCGTGATCGTAAAATGCGTCCACAAACAATTGCCACTAAGATGGTCAAGGGATTGAACTGTTTCCCATAAGAGGAAGTATTACGATCATTAGGACTATATTCTCCTCAGTACCATCAAATGCAAGAAGACCCCATTTTGGTGTACCAAATGCTGCAAAACCCAAACTATCCATTTCAGCAGCTGCTCAAGTTGTTGCCTAGCACACACCTTAGGGGACATCTTTTTAAGTAATTGATCCCAAGGTGTCAACTGGAAAACCGGTGTCAATGTTTTCCAGCCATCTCAAATCATTTATGCACCAACTATTGAATCTTTCAAGGAGAGACTTCATGAAACCCTGGCACATTCTACATATCTACACCAATAAAAAACACAACTTAGTTGAAGACTGCATTATCTGCTAATTCCTACCCGGAACCTTTTGTGATATTTTATTATTTTTCGCCGAGAAACGATTTAACTGTGTAATTATCCTATGGGGACGAGAGAAGCTTGAGCTTGCAAGTAATTTCCATAATAAAACTTCGACTTTAAATTTTAAAAACCTTTCATAAGCAGTTTTATTTTTATTCTCATCATTTGTTATGTAAAGCTGTTTAAACGATACCTCGTCTCTCAGTTAGGAAAGATAAATTGTACACGTTGATTTTTTAGACTGCATCCCTCATTCACCCCCACTTATAATCCATGCCCTGGCTTTTCATATTCATTGTCACTCCGTCGGTTCCATGCTTGCTCTCAATCCGATATATGTATAGGGACAACTAGACCATAAGAACGATCCTTTTCGTACAGTTATTTAGCAATACATACAAGGGTTGCGTTCCTATTTCATGTATCTGTGAAATTTAAACTAGACCGGGTGCATTACAACAAATTTGGCCCCATTTGAAAATGTATCGTGAATAAGGCGTAGAAGTAAATCTGGAAAAAGGTTTTCGGCAGTTTTTTGATCAGACGTTTGCATTTTTGCAATCCTAAATTCAGGAGTGTATAGCTATTGTTCGTTGCATACGGTGCGATTGTGTGTATTCGCTTAAAGAAGCATTTATTCCTCAAAAATGCTGCACATTCTATTGATCTCGATGCAGTTTCGTCAAAAAAAACGTTGGAAGGATAAAAATGGTTTATCTTTTATGCGCACTGCGTCTACTCATCTGATGTTTCCGCCTAAATTACACCATCAACAGTCACAAATCTAAGCAGAGAGATGCATTAAGAAAGAATAGTTTTGTGTATTTCGGCCAGGCATTCAAACTCCGTCACGAATTCAACGCATCAGTTGTTGCACTGAGGGACAAGAAGAAAAAAATTATCGAGGAATTGAACAAAATAGATGTACAACTGGAAGAACTGCAAGACTTTTTGCCGCAAAACGAAGCACTGCTAAGACTGCGTATACCCGGCCTGCTGCCGGAGGAATTTCCAGAAAAGTGAGTTTCAATTCGTTGTAGCGATTGCATGAACTAACAGTAATTTGAATTAGTTTAAATACGGAACATATTTAATTTCAAGTTCCTAGAAAAGAAATACTTCTCTGAGAATGGTTCATAATACTGAAACAATAATTTCAAAAGAAACACATATGTTTTAGTTTTTAATACCATAAGCCATGCACTTTCACGTAGTGATTTTGGTTACTATATCTTGTTTATCCATTTGAGCCAAGGAGTAAACGGACGACGGAAATAACGGAACCAGTATCAGGATGAAGAAAGAAAATTAAAGAAGGCTACAATCACAGTAATGTACATATATATATATATATATATATATATATATATATGTGTGTGTGTGTGTGTGTGTGTGTGTGTGTGAAAACACAACGGATCAGTTATGATTTTACAATCGAGAATCTTATGTGGTGGGTAAATAGAGGCGGAGCCAGAAATGGAATGTGATGGCCTATGAGAGCAAATAAGCCAATCACAGACCAATTTCTTTTTTAAAACAATAAATGCATTGTGCTTTTTTGACACAGTTCGGACTCCGATCATTGAGAAATATAAGACCTAATAATGAACGAATCAAGCAATCGGAGGAAGTAATCAACTGGTAAAAGTGCTTCCGATCAGTGAAGCTGTGCGGATTTCTGGAGAGGTGTTAGTTACGGTTGCCAGTAATCACTTCGGGATATCATCCGTGATTTGAATCCCCGAGTTTCGCAATGTCTAATCAACTAATCTGCTTCCACGACTATATGGGATAACACGTCAACAGTATTTGTGCCGCTTGAGGTTGTGAGATTTTAACTCTCTGACATCAACACCCAGTTAGTCTCCTCGATTATGGCCAACTTTGAAACATTCGAGATTGACAGGTTATGAAAATCTACATACCAAAGGATAGTATGTAAGAAGATTAGGTCCGGATGATTAATATTCCAAATGGATGGTAAAATTGAAGATCTGGGCTTGAATAAATGATTCCCTTCTGATCTCACATGCATCTCCGGTTTCATTCAAAAGATTTAGCGACGATTGCAATAAGGTTGTCATTATCTTTTCAGTCACTCGCAAGATAGGTCACCCTCCAACGCTGTTCGAATATGCTTTTCGTGCAAACGACGGTTGGGAGGGATACATAAGCATTCCTTCTCAAATGTCACATTATCCGTTCATATTTACGTCCAAATTATTTCTTCCTACTTCTACCCTGGACTCTCGGACGCGGTAGCATCATTTGTGCGCTCCCGGTTTAAGTGGATTTACTCCGCCATAACACGTCATACAGCGACGAGTTTACGCTCGTTCGACTCAGCTCTGTGAGATCTATCTACATATATATATATAGGATATAAACCATACCATTCACACTACTGTGCTTTTCCGTGATTTGTAGCAAATATTTTGCTAATACTCACGCGTGCAAAGTTGCTCATTTTCCTTCGAAGTGTCAATATTGTGATACCATTGTGAAGGAAATATTACGCTCCATCCAACAAATCCGAAATGAGCTATCTACGCCCAATTTTAAGCGTGCTGGATATATAGTTGTTCAACTCAGTTTTTGTGCCATTTGCACCATCACTCACACGTGTGTCCATCACACCACGACCAGTTCAGTCGATCGATATTCGCAAGCTGACCTGTTCCACTCGTCAGTGAGAACTATCACCACAAACGTGTGATCGGTCCGAACGTGCACTTTTCGTTGCACTTGACCTTTGTC